TTGTTGTTTATGTTTACTTCTATGTGTGCTAGTTACCTTGTTTTTTGTTTTTTTGTCTTTTTTTTTTTTTTTTTTTTTTTTTTCCAGAGCTGGGGACCGAACCCAGGGCCTTGTGCTTGCTAGGCAAGTGCTCTACCACTGAGCTAAATCCCCAACCCCTCTTCTATGTGTGTAAACATGTGTGCATGTGCCTGTAAAGGCTAGAAAAGTCCTACCAGACCTCCTGGGACTAGTTAGAGGCTGTTGTGGGTGCTGGGAACTGGACTCAGGTCCTCTGAGAACAACCGCTGCTCTGTAGTCACTTAGCTGTCTCTCCGGCCTCATTTTTCAAAAAAGCATCTTTAAAGATTTATTTATATGAGTGCTTTATCTGCATGTACACCCACACACCAGAAGAGGGCATCAGATCCCACTATAGATGGCATGAACCACCGTGTGGTTGCTGAGAATTGAACTCAGGACCTCTGGAAGAACAGACAGTGCTCTTAACCTCTAAGCCATCCCTCCAGCCCTTGTTTTTCAAATTTTTATGGTTATCCTAGGCAGCAGATGCGCAGACGGCAAGTGGTACAGCTGTCTCAGCAGGAGGAGGCAGTTGAGGGTGTTTGCCAGGCAAGGCTCCGCCGAACTGCACAGCCAGACCCTGTTTTACAGTGACAGGGCTAAAGGTGCACAAGACCTTGATCTTCAACATTGCAGCACACCCACCAACGTGTGCGCATGCCTGCTTGCCTGCCCATGTTTTATTTTATTTTTTATATTAATTACAGTTTATTTACTTTGTAGCCCAGCTGTAGCCCTCACTCTCATTCTCTCCCAATCCCACCCTCTGTCAATTCCTCCCATGCCCCTTTCCAAGTCCACCAATGGAGAGGTCCTCCTCCCCTTCCATCTGATCCTAGCCTATCAGGTCTCCTCAGCGCTGGCTGCATCGTCTTCCTCTGTGGCCTGTTAAGGATGCTGCCCCCTCAGGCATGCCCATGTTTTAGCATAGCCTTCAGGATACTGTGGACTTGGACCTTCGCTGTGGACAGTGCTGGGACCTTAGGCCAGCCGTTAGTGTCCTCTGCTGTGAGCCAGGCAACAATGCGCAGTCAGGGCTTGCTTGAGGCTTTTAATTCCCAACTCGCTGATCGCTCTTCTTTCTTCCTGAACCTCTGACTTCTGTGTGGATCCAGAACCTTTTTCTTCTGCAGGAAGAATGAGGCGGTGTGAATGGCCACTGGTAATTTCATTCTTTTGTTGTTTTTTTTTTTTTTTGCAGTTTTGAAATTGTCTTAATTTCACCTTTTTTTTTTTTTTAAATGGGTACATTTGCTAAATGTAGGCTCTTCTGCTGGCTGCCTTTTTTTTTTCTTGAGTTGTCTATTCTAATTGAAAGTGATCTGTTACTTTGTTTTGTTTTGTTTTTCGAGATGTAGCTAGCCTTGGCTGTTCTGGACTCACCTTGTAGACCAGGCTTGGCTTCGAACTCAGAGCTCTGTTTGCCTCTGCCTCCTCGGTGCTGGGATTGCAGGTGTACCCCCTTGCAGCCATCTCCTGTCACTGTTTTTAACTTCTGAGTGCTGTTAAAAATCACTGGCCCTCCCCTCCAGGTGGCTGAATCCGTTCTCCCTCTTGTGCTTCTGTACTGAAGTACTTAAAGAAGGATAAGTTTCCAAAAGAAGTAAGAGTTAAAGTTTGGAGTCAGAAAGCACAGATAGCATGGTGCTGGCCCTGGTGAGGGCTTCCACAGGTCTATCACCTCAAGGCAAAAGGCATTATGGAGTTGGGAATGCTGGCATAGGACATGGGAATTGGAGGTAGGGAGCTCAGGAGTTCAAGGCCAGCCCTAGGTACATAGTGAGTGCTAGGGCAGCTTTGTGAGACTGTGTTGTTTCCAGACCAAAAACAAAAAAACAGGCCATGAGAGATGGCGCAGTGGGTGAAGGCAGCTCTGCTCATGTACAAGGCCCGAGTTAGTTTCCCAGCAACACTGACAGAACACAACAGCCAGTGTGAGCCAAAGCCTCTGACCGCCACAGGCACACATACTTTATTATTTTATAAATTAAAAATTTATATATATATAAAATAGATTTATAAAATGGATCTATATAAATATAAAATTATAATTTACAAATTATGAAGAAAATTTATTAATTTACTTTATTAAAAGTAAATAATCTTAAAGTAGCATCACATCAGGAGTGCATGAAAGGGAGAGAGCACAGGAATGCTGCAGTGGCCAGTCCCCACCTCCTCAGGTGTCCTGTGAGAGGTGGCCTTGTTGTGTGTGTGTGTGGGGGGGGTGTGTGTGTCAGTCAGTGTCAGTGTCATAGTGTCAGGATGGGGTCTAGGCAAGCAGTGCACCCACGGCTCACCAAGCCAGACTGACACTGGAATGTGTGCTCTTTCATACACAGTTCCTCGACCATTGTCACTGTTTGTTAGTGCGAGTTTAAGAGCACCACTTAGGCTGGGTGTGGTGGCACACGCCTGTAGTTCCAGCACTAGGGAGGCAGAGGCAGGTGGAATTGAAATTTTCCTGGTCACAAGAATAGTATGTTTCTTTCAAGCCAGGCTCTTTCCCCTTGGGATCTGTGCAGGCAGTAACAGGACCCCCTCCTGTAGTTGGGGAGCTTTTTATTCGTGGCCAAGAATAGAAGTGGGAGCTAAGCTTGACAGTTGCTTCTCAGCCTTGAGGATCAGGCTGCAGTGGGCAGTCTTGGAAAGAGAGGAGTGTTCGTTTGTTGGGAGTGAGCGGCTCCCTGGAAGTCAGCCTTGGAAGCTGCCATGGCTGCCGTCAGCCGTCCCGGTCCAGGCTTGCAGCCTATGTGGATGGGCTTTGAAGACGTGAGAGGTCGCTGGTGCTGTGGCTGCCTCTTCTCCGTCAGCCCATCTGAAGTGCATTATGGCGTCCTCACAGAGCAACAAGCTCGGGAAGAGGGGGAGTTAGGTTCTGTCTTAGCTGGGGGTGCTGTTACGGTGATAAACATATGGCCGCAAGGGGGGAGGATAGGGTCTTCTAAGTTTTCCCTTACAGCTTCTGAGTCCATCACTGAGGGAAGCCAGGGCTGGAGTCTGGAGGCAGGAACTGAAGTGGAGGCCGTGGAGAAGTGCTGATCACCAGTTGCTTTCCGTCACTTGCTCGGGCTCCTGTTTTATCACACCCAGGACTGCCTGTCAGGGATAGCAGCCGCTGTGAGCTGAGCCCTCCCCATCAGCCATCAATCAAGAAAACACGCCAAGGCTTGCCCAAATGCCAGTCTGCTGGGGACATTTTCTCATCGGAGATTTCTTCTTCCCAAATGGCTCTCGCTTGTGTCAAGTTGACATAAAACTAGCCAGCCCAGTTCCCTAGGGTCACTCTGCACGAGATCACCCGTCAGCCTCCTCAGCTTGTCAGTGCCACTAGTGCCCCCTCCTTCTGCTTGTGTGCTGGTCTTCCCAGCACACTGGCTCTTGCACAGCTGCCATCTCATCTTTTTCTCCCAGTATCTGGGGTACCTAACTCCAGGTGCTCTTGAGATCGGCATTGTTAGATAGCTGCATCAGATTGAGGGGGTGTGCTAGCTTGTGCCTGTAATCCCAGCTCTGGAGGCTGAGGTAGGAGGATTGCTTTGAGATTGAGGCCAGCCATGGACACATAACAAGACCCTGTCTCAAACACATATACTTAAAAAAAGAAGGCCAGGCCAAGTGGTGCACGCCTTTAATCCTAGCACTTGGGAGACAGAGGCAGGTGGATCTCTGAGCTGGGGGCCAGACTGGTCTACAGGACAGCCATGGCTGTTACACAGAGAAACCCTGTCTCAAAAATAAAAAGAGGGTTGGGGAAGGGAGGGGGCTGGAAAGATGATTCACTGGCTGGTCTTCTGGAGGATCTGGGTTTGATTCCCAGCAACCACATGGTAACTTGAAACTGCTTGTTCCAAGTGATCCACATCTCACACACAAAATGGGCAGGAAAAAATCATCTTAAAAAGAAAAGGAAAACTGAAAGAAAGGGGGCGGCAGGGGTGGGGTCAGCTTGAAGCCCACCACCAAGCAAGAGGTGTCTGCACCTTTGCCTGCACTGGCCATCAGTGGCTTCTTAGCTGCCTTTCTGGTAGGCGCTGCCTTGTTGGAGCTTTTCCAAACAGAGCGCCTTGTGACATGGCTGGGTGTATAGCTCAGGCTAGCCTCAAACTGAAATGTTTCCTAAATGCTGGCATTCCAGGCACATGCCACCATGCCCGGCTTCTGACTCAGTGCCTGATCACTTCATTTTCCCCACGGAGCCGCTGGGTGGTTAGCAAGGCCAGGAAGTTGCCCTCGCTGTAGGCAGAACTGGCTCTGCACTTGGTGTTCTCGGCTGCTGGGGACACCATCCTCCTCTGATGGTGGCATGAGCAGCCCACCCATGGCACTGGTACTGTGTTCCATCAGGCTTGGTTTGCCTGAGGCTTCCTGGCCAGGAACTGCGCTCAGCTTTCAGCCAGGCTCGGGGTGGGTTTTAACTAGCAGTGGTCTAGCTGTCTCTCACCCTGGAAGGGTTCTAGAAGAGGGGGCTGTAGAAAGGAGTAGGCTTAGTCTGCAGCCAATGCAGGGCTATAGGGAGTAGGAGTAGCCAGAGTTCAACCAGACTTGGGTATGAATCAGGGCCACTTTTTCATCTTATGGACAAGTTCTTGCGCCTCAAAATGTTTTTTGTTTTTTTTTTTTTTATTTTCAAATATGTGACTTAAATGGGCTGGTAATCCTCGCTAGGACAGGCACCATGGATGAGGATGATGAGACAGGATTGGGGTTACACACTGAGGAATGTGAGGGAAAGGCCTGGGTTGGCAGTGGCTGAGCCTCACATCGCCGGGAGATACCATTTGGCCCCTCCCTCATTTAGGGCCCAGTAGCACTTCAGGTCCTCAGAAGGGAACAGCTAATTCTGGGAGTCTTGGGGCAGGCTGAGCAGTGTAGGCCTGGCTCTGCTCGAGCGTGCTCGGGAGCTGTGGTAACTGCAGGGCCTCTCGCCTTTCCAGCCATGTTTCCTCAAGGACTGGGAGATGCATGTCCACTTCAAAGTCCATGGCGCAGGGAAGAAGAATCTTCATGGCGACGGCATCGCCTTGTGGTACACCCGAGACCGCCTTGTATCAGGTAGGGAGGCCCATGCTCAGGTGGGCCCCGAAGAGTGAGGTGGGCATGGGCATAGCTGCTGGCCCCAGGGCAGTGAGGATGGGCGTGGTGAGTGCCTGTCCGTGGTCCTCTGTGCCTCCTGTTGGAGGCTGCTGACCTTGCTCTTGCAGCGCGGCGCCATGCTGCCCCTTCTGACAGGTTGGTGTTCACCCTGCTTAGTGTTTTTGACTATATATCCCAGTCTGGATTTAAACCTACTAGCCCAGGCGACCTGAACATGAAAGTCTTCCTTCTCGCTCAGTCTTTCAGGTTGGGCTGCAGGCATTCCCCAGCCCTGGCTTCTCCCATGTATGTAAAGACATTTGTGTGTGTGCCCCTGCGCGCCACAGCTCCCGCGGAGATGGAAGGGCAGCCTTGTGACATCAGCTCTGTCCCTCCACTTTATTTTCTGTGGATGAAACCCATGTCATCAGGCCAACATAGCAAGGGCCTGTACTGCTGAGCCATCTCATGAGCCCACTCTGCCACTTCTAAAGGCCAAAGCACAAAGGCTGGCTCACAAAGATTGTGCAGCCAACAAAGCGTAAAGCACCTCTTCTGGGGCCCTTGCTGAGAGTTTGTCGCTTGTACCTGCTTTGTCTTGGAGGTTCTTCCTTCCTGGGTGAGGTGTCAACTTTTGGGCCCTCTTCTGCCCTGGAAGCTTTTGAGCAGTCCACGGCTCATCTCCATATTGATCCTGTTCTGAAAATATCTCCTAATTCCAGGGCCTGTGTTTGGAAGCAAAGACAACTTCCATGGTTTAGCCATCTTCCTGGACACGTACCCCAACGATGAGACCACGGAGGTAGGCTCTGCTCTCTTCTGTGGAGCAGGCGAGCAAGGGTTGGCCAGTAGGGCCCTGCTGTCCTGGCAAAAGGGTCTTCCAGGTAGGGGTGATGTGTGCCCACGGGCTGGCGGGCGTGGAGTAACCAGCGTCTCGGTTCCAGCGTGTGTTCCCGTACATCTTGGCGATGGTGAACAATGGCTCTCTGTCATACGATCACAGCAAAGATGGGCGCTGGAGTGAGCTGGCAGGCTGCACGGCGGACTTCCGAAACCGGGACCACGAGACCTTCCTGGCTGTCCGCTATTCCCGAGGCCGCCTCACGGTGAGCAGGCATGAGGGGGAGGCCACCAGGCCTGGGCCTCCTCCGCAGAGAGGGTCAGGAGGGAGCTGGCCGGGCCTGCGTGTGTGTGACCTGTTGTCCGCCGACTGCAGGTGATGACTGACTTGGAGGACAAGAACGAGTGGAAGAACTGCATCGACATCACGGGGGTGCGCCTGCCCACCGGTTACTACTTCGGGGCCTCCGCTGGCACTGGCGACCTGTCTGGTGAGTGTGCGGCCTGTCCTCAGCAGCTGACCTCCTCCCTTCCTCACTTACCGGCACTTGTCCATGTCGGTGTGCCCAGTGGTGAGCCTCTTCATTTGTCTTCCATCTTCAGGCGTCAGGAGGCTTTGGGTCTTGTAGCTTTATGATTGCTAGCACCAGAGCTATAGAAACACAGGTGCTCAGTCTCCACTGGCCGCCCGTCAGAGCGTTGACCTTGCTCATCCAGGTGTAAAAGGCATCTGTCTTTCTAGTTGCCTGGGCTCAAACACCTTGGTGGCATCATGGACCTTGTCTCATTCCATCGTGTACTTTGGCAAATCCCACTCAGTCTTTCTCCTTGCATTCAAGCCACCATCTCTCACTCACGTTTCCACATGGTGCCCTTCCCTCCCCCCTCATACAAAGCCCCTGACATCTTGTCTCTGGCTCCTGTAGTTACCCCTGCGCTCAGAATGGTAATGGCCACCGTCCCAGTGGGTGTGCCGGCCCCCACCTCCTCACCACCCAGTCTCTCTGTGTCCAGGGAGGCGTCCAGCTGCCCCGCCCTCTGCTCTAACCTGATCCTCTCCTTAGCGTCTTACCAGTTAACTTGCCTGAAGCTGTACCCCTTTTCCTTGTGCATTCGAACCTCCCCATCGCTTTTCCAGCTTCTCTGGCATTAGCCACACGTTAGGATTCCTGCCCCTCCACTCCTCAAGACAAGTCTCGGTGGTCCTTGCTTGGTCACCAAGACTTGGTGGCACTTGACGGCGGCTCTTGGCTGTGCATCTGCTGGGAGTGCTTGGGAAGGTCCTCGCCTGGGCGCAGCTTCTGTGCTGATCAGAACTGGGCTGTGATGTGCATGGGCTGGCAGTGCTTGATGAGCCTCGGGATAAACTCTGCTAGGGCCTATAATGTCCCCTCCAGAAGAGGCCTCCCGCCTCTCCAGGGATGAGCTCAAGGCTGTGTGGTCCCAGAGGATCTGTTTTGTGTTGCTCAAAGTTCCCATCCCCCGCTTCACTAATCCGCAACCACGGCCAGGCTAGTTTCAGTAACAGACTCAACATGTCCCTTTTCCTTTTTTGTTCCTTGGCTTCCCTGGAATTTCATCTGATGTATGAAATTCATACATTATGTCTGCAGAGGGTTTCTTGCTTTGTGTTTTTTGACACAGCTTCTAACTCTGTGGCCCAGGCTGGCTTGGTACTCACTATGTAGCTTATGCTGGCCTTTAACGGTGATTCTCCTGCCTCAGCCTTCTCACTGCTGCGATCACATCCAGTTTGCAGAAAGTTTTGATAGAGCAGACGCCAGCCTGTGGCAGGTGTTCCTCAGTACTGTTTGCCATAGCGGCTTGAGGAGGGCAGTGAGGGCCCACAGCCATGGGCTCTGCGTGCTCAGAGGACTGTCCAGGCACAAAATGGGCACTCACTAGGTTTTGTTTTTTTTTTTTTTTTTTTTGTAGGGGGGTGGGGCAGAGAGACAGACAGTCTCTATAACTTTGGCTGTCTTAAAATTCTCTATGGAAACCAGACTTGTCTCTCCCTCCAAATATTGAAATCAAAGGTGTGTACCACCACACACAGCTACTGTTTTCTAAGCTAGGTAGTGCTTTGTTCCCATTTTCACATAACTGAAATCAAGGGAATGTGAGAGTTGAAGAATTTCTTCAAGATGAGCAGAAAATGGCGGAACCCAGGGAGCAGCTAGAGTCTAACTCCAAAGCTGGTTCTCAGGGCTCAGCCCTGTGTGTCAAGGGTCTGTGTGCTCCTGTGTCAGGTGGCCCTGCCTGATTTGGCTGCCAGCTGCTTGCTGTGCAGCTTTTTTCTCCTCACCCCAGTTCCCGACCCCAACCCCAAACAGCTTGCCTCAGATGAATTGGTTCACTGAGGTTACCTGTGGGTCTGGCTGGCCGCCAGTATCTCCTCTGCAAGAGTTGGATCATCTTTCATGCCTGTAGAGGAGTAGGCCACAGCCTCCCAGCTGAGTTGCTGACTGCCCTTTGTTTATCTGCAACCTGCACGTGGGCTCTGACAGGACCATCTGGCTGCATCCTGTTCTCAGAAGTATCAGGCTTCTCAGGCAGCCTAGGATGATTGCGCTGGCCCTTATCTGGTTTCCTTCTTTCCGTTCCTATCCTTTGCTTAGCAGTCTCCCACACTGCCTGGGCGTTCTCACGTTCTGGCCATTGTGATGGCTCAAGGCGGGCATTACTGCTTCCATTTCCCAAAAAGCTTAAGCCGTGAAGTTTCAGAGACATATCATTTCAAACATCAAAGTTAATGCTTTTTTCCCTGTATCTTCTCTTGGGTTCTTCCTAACTTTCCCAAGTTGGGGTTTAAACCCAGGCTTTTCTACACGCTAAGCACATGTTTACCACGGAGCTGCACCCAGCCCCTCCTTCTGGAGTCATTTAAATGCTGCCCGCCTAGGGAGGGAGACTGCGCTCCCCAGGGCTGGCTTGTCTGGGGCTGAGGAAGCAGCTTTTCTTTGGGGCGGGCAGTGGGCATGTCTTGAAGTAGGTCACTCTCTGCCCTGTAGACAACCACGACATCATTTCCATCAAGTTGTTCCAGCTCATGGTGGAACGAACGCCTGAGGAGGAGAGCATCGACTGGACTAAGATCGAGCCTGGCGTCAACTTCCTCAAGTCCCCCAAAGGTATGTGCCGTGCAGCCCTGCGCTCCCGGCTCCAGGAGGACCCTGTGCTCCTGGCCTTCTGTCCTGAGAGTTTGTAGAAGCATGAGCTGCCGTCGAAAGGGAGGGTTCTGTTGAGGCTCTGACATGGAGTCGGCATGTGTGTGAGCGCAGTGTCCCCTTTTTCCTGTGCTCGAGTGTGCTTGGTTTGTCCATGCATACATAGCATGCCCAGCGAGCCTCGTCACAGGTAACTTGTGTAAATCGCCTGGGGCCTGACTCTTAGGTGTGCTCAGCCAGGGAGAGGGGTTAGTCTATAAACCCTGGCTTTGGTTCCTTCGTTAGCACAATTCTGCTTCAAACCAAGTCCTCAGGCAGAAGAGGCCCCTTACGGCCTTCTGTCCCCTCAAAGCCAGACTGCCAAGTGTTTGGCCTAACGGGGCTCACCCTGCCCAGGCCCCTTTCTGTGTGGTAGGACATCTCACTTTAAAAATAAAAATTCTGTCTTGCAAAGCCTGGGCTGGCCTTGAACTCACTGTGTCTCTGATGGTGACCACCTTTTGAGTCTCCTGCCTCTACCCTAAGTGTAGGAATTACAGCTGTAGCCACCAGCCTGGTGTTTGACATCTCCGGGTTTTCAATTTTGTGTTAGGTTGAATTCTGGGTGTGGGTGTCCATGGAGGCTAGGGGGCCTGGAGCTGGGCTTGCAGGCGGTTGTGAGCCACCCAGCATGGCGCTGGGATGCAAACCCGGCTCTTTGGAGAGAGTGCGTCTGTGTGTACTCAGCTTCTGCGGCACCCTTCCGCCTTTAAGAGCTAAGTTAGCCTTGCCACATGGCACCATTGGGTCGGTTCCGGTTGCTCTCCCAGAAAGGCCAACTGCTTTGCCCCAGCTGCATCCCCAGGAGTCAGGGGAGCCAGGGACTGACATTTGTGTTTCCTCACTTGTTGGCCAAGTCTCCAAAGCTTCCACTCCGTTTCTCGTTCTGCCCCATGGTGGAGGAGCTGAGCAATGGTGGGCCACAGGGACTGTTGGAATGGCGAAGCTGGGCTGTTTGTGTGTGTGTGGGGTGTCCTGTGGCCCTTGAAGTTCTACCTCATAGTTCCGAGCAGATTTCTACCGACCCCTGCCCTTGACCAGTGCTGTGCTGGTGTGAGCTGGGCCTTCTTGTCAGTCCAGTTTTATGGAGCCAGTGCGGGGCGCCCCTTAACGCTTGTCCATTAACTTCCCTCTCTTTCCGTAGACAACGTGGATGACCCCACTGGAAACTTCCGGAGTGGGCCCCTTACCGGGTGGAGGGTGTTTCTGCTGTTGCTGTGCGCGCTCCTGGGTATCATCGTCTGTGCGGTGGTGGGCGCCGTGGTGTTTCAGAAGCGACAGGAGCGGAACAAACGTTTCTACTGAGCAGCCAGTCTGGCTGGGAAGGGCCTGACCTTGGGACAGGGCTCTCACGTGAACTTTTTTTCTACTGGGATTGTAAAACCAACCAACCTTATTTCTTAACTGTTTTGAAGAAATAATTAAAGTATTTTCATACATTTTGCTTCATGCCCAGCTGAGGCAGCTGGCAGGGCTGGGGTCAGGGCTAGCATCCACAGCTGGAGGTTCTTGCCCGACCCCAAGGCATGCTCTTGGGGGCAAGGGAATGTGTGCTTGGGGCCCAGCTGAGGCCTGCGGGTGCTTGTCAAACACCAGAGGTCCTAAGTGCTCGTGGCTCCTCAGTGCCCACGCAGTGGTTTTGTTCTGAGGCCCCTGGTAGCAAGCAGGGTTCTGGGCCTTCCTGCCTCTAGCTTTTCACACAGGCGGATTTCAGCAAAGGCTGTAGACAGTTCAGTAGAGCGAGAGTGTGACCATTTACTAAATAAGGGCTTTGTTCATTGCTGGTCGTTTCCAGTCCATTCTCTGTGGCTACCACATTGCCAGGCGGGAAACATGATTCTCAGGCCAAGCAAAACTCAACGTTTCTCCCAGCATGCAGTGTTTTGGGGATGGGGCACTAGATGCTAGACAGGGACAGTGACAGGAATTGAGAGATGACCTGGAAGGAGCTGGGCTCAGCAGTGCTGCCCTCCTGGGGACCATGAGGGACAAAGCTGGGACGAGTGTGAACACCTCCAGCCTTCGCCACCAAGGTTCCTACCTGCTCCAGGCATGTCCCCACCACAGAGGCGTGTGTTCCCTTGCTTGACCCACTGCACTGTTCCTCATCTTCCCACAGTCAAGCAGTCTAGTGCGTCACAAGCAAAAGCTGCCATCTGCTGCAGGTGGCTTCTACCATTCACTGTGCTGCTGCGGGTGGTGGCCGAAGCCCGTGGAGAGAGCACAGCTTTCTGAGTTCCATCTTCGCTTCCACCCAGCAGAGCTACCCACTGAGCCACTGGGAGCCATCTGTCCTTGGCAGAAACTGCCCATGCGCTCATGCCAGCTGCCAGCTTCTTCTCAGGTTTACGAGCCTGTCACGATGCCTCAGAGGGCTGCCCGTTTACTGTGACACCACGAGGGGGCTGCAGCAGTAGTTGGACTGGGGGTGCAGTGGGGGTGTCTGAGCAGTGTGCTGACAGCGCGGCTGAGGCTGGAGGCCGCTGTGTAAGGCTGCCACAGTCTGGAAGCACCTGCTCTACTCACCGTTAGCTCTTGGTTCTGACTAGGCACTCCCAGCAGTCCTGTGGATCAGCCACCCCAACAGCACCTGCTGCAGTTGGGAGATGACTCAACGCCACAGAAAATTGCTGGTGTGATGGCACATGCCTGCCCCACAGTGCTGGAGGCAGACTGCCTCGGGGCTTGCTGGTCCCGGCGGTGACCATGCCAAAAGAGGCGTGTGGCTGAGGGGCACACCCAAACTGTCCTCTGGCCACACCTCGGGCCTAGAAGGTCTTGGAGGGTGGGGTGGGGTCTGTGATCCGGACTTGGTGTCGCAGGTCTGTTTACTTCAGGGGCTCGCCATGTCACTGCATAGCCTCGCTGCACTTGGGAAAGACTGTTTCTGGGTTCAGAGTCCTCTGTACTTTCATGCAGGGATGATTCCACAATTGGTTTTTTTGGCATATACGCCTAAAAATTGAGTTACTTCGTCATGTGACATTTACAAAGAAATGTATGCCCTTGTGTCTGCAGTGCCGTGTGGGGACACAGACCTGCCAGCACGTGTGCACCCCGTTTCCCCTCCAGGGAGATGATGGCTGTTCATTTTCCCTGTAAATTGTGTTGTTCTGTAAAGCTTGTTCTGTTTTTAAGAAGCCTTTAAGTAGTATTTGGATGTACCCCTTAGCGCTCAAGCTCAGCACTGCGGGTGTGCCTCCTGGTCGCACGCTGGCGGCTGTGGCTGAGCTGTCACCCACCCAGGACTGGGAGAGACCCGGGCGTGGCTTCAAGTGCTCCCCACCCGAGAGTGTGGGCCTGCAGCTGCTGTTCCTTCCCAGCCTCGCTGGCTGTCCACCCACCCACTCCTCGGTCCGAAGCAGAGCTGAGCTTGGGTGCGAGCGCTCCGCCATGGCTCCTCGCAGGCTGTGGGTCTTCGCTTACTGATCACTTCATCCTCCGATGCTTCGTTCTGACCTGTTTCTCGTGCGGATGGTCAGGAATTCTTTCAGTCTTCTGCTTCTAAGCTTTGCAGAGGTTTCTTCCCACGCACTAGGCTTCCTGGTTCACTAATGACGTCATTTGATGTATGATCTACATTTAAATGGCATTTATTAATCTTTTCCAAAGATGATTTTCCTGAAGGTTTTTAACTTTTGCCTTTAAATTTTTGCACTTTGTTGAAGTGGGCTTGGGCAGGATTGACGTCATCGTCCTCACCGTCCCTGACGTCGCCACCCGCTGTAGCAGAGCCTTTCTGACTCACTCATCCTCCAGCGCCAGGACTGGTTCCCAGACACCCGCTCCTGATGCTCTGCCCTTCTCCGCTCTTCAGCTGGGGTGCTTCCTTCCAGCACGGGAGGTCTCGGGAACCCCGGGGCTCGAGCTGGAGGGGTCTCATCTTGCCTAGAGTGCGGCAGGACCCCAAGGGCGCAGAAACACGTGACTGACGCTGGAGTGAGCACACACCTGCTAGATAGGGGTCCTCAAGACCTCAGGCCTGAAGAGTGGCCCCAAGCCTTAGACTGTCAGCTGCTGGGTTTGTGTTTGTGAAAGAAATAAATTCCTATTTGTTCACACTAGTGTGAGTTGTGCATTCTGTTACCTAAGCCGGAAACAGCCTCGCCCCTGTCTCCTGCCCACCCTGGCCTCACCTGATGTCACACACAGTCAAGGCTCTTCTAGGCAAGCCTCATGCCCCAAGTTAAACACATTACGTGTGATGGGTCAGCGAGGTGCCTGTTACATGTGAACCTGAGCACCCAGGAGGGAAGCCCAGACAACTTTATTCCTTCAGGTGGGCGACTCTGGCTTTGGTATTTCATGGGGCGCCTGGGTCCTCCCCTCCCCCCTTTGGTTCAGCTTACATTCCTATCCCAGTGATTCTTCAGCCAATTCTTCTCACAGTGTGAGAGCCACATCACAGACTTCCTATGAGGCCTTTCCTAGATGGCTTCAGAGGGAGAAGATAAATTTAACCGTAAAACAGTGGGCCCATCTCTCTTGGCAATGACCACTCTGGCTACTTCCTGCTGAGAAGGGGTAACTTAGGCTCCTGGGCTGGCACAGCGGTGGCCCGCCTGTGGAAGTGAAGGTGCTGAAGGAGAATGCTAAGGCCACTGCAGGCCAGTCCAGCATGGGGTGACCATTCCCAGGATGCTACCCACCCAGGCCGACATGGCTGCCTCTGGAAGAGCCCCTTCTGAGCTCAGCCTGTTCCTTTCTCCCTTCAGTAGCACCCTCAAATATGTGACTTGAGATTGTTATGGTTGGGCCTTTAAAATTTGTTGTTTTAGTTCAGTTTCTTTACACCCCAAGGGTTCCCCTCTCTCTCCTCCCTTCCCCTCTCCTTTTCCCCCCAGAAAAGGGGAGTCCTCTACCCCAATATCAACTCTCCCCAGCACATCAAGCCACATTAGGACTGAGCATATCCTCATCCCCTGAGGCCAGGCAGGGCAGCCCTGCTGGGGGGCGGGGCAGGGCGGGGAGTGATTCAAAAGCAGGCAATAGAGTCCATGTCAGAAACGGGCCTCCACTTGCCATCCAACCCACGTGAAGACCAAGCTGCCCATCGGCCACATAGGTGAAGGCCTAGATCCCGTCAGAGACCTTCCACGAGGTCTTGGCCGAGGCCAATCAGGGTTTGCCCAGCCTTACCAGCTGGATGCCCCCTTTCAGTTCCGGAGAAAGTTGATTTTGATCTCCAACACTGGCTAGAGTGAGGAACTCAAGATATACTGGCTGTCTTCCAGATCTATTTTACCAAAATGGGCGTGGGTACCTGTCTTCTCTGCTTCCTCTGCAGTGATCACGAAAGAGGATGAGCTTGTTTGGGGTATCTGTTCCATGGGGTTCTTTAATACCCTGTGGCTTAAATGAGTTCCTAATCTTCTAGGATCCAACATTTAAACAAAAGCTTTGGAGGAAATGGTAAGCATTCCTCCCCCCTGAGCCTTCCCCCTCAAATTCGTAATCTGTGAGCAAGGATGCTAGGTGAGCAGGGCGGGCGATTTACTACACGCACCTACAATCTCTAGAGTGCGACACCTGCTCTTCAGCCTGCTCACCTCTCACAGAAACTAGAGATTGAAGCGGGAGTGGAGATGCCCAGGGCAGGATGGGGCAGAGACGAGAGCGGGGGCAAGGAGTGAGGAAGGGAAAAAGGCACCAATAGCACCAGCACGCAGGAAGACTGCAGGTCCCCAATGCCGGCTCCCGGGGAGCCCCAACGCCAGCCTCCCAGCCAAACAGCCTGGTCCTCTTTTGCCCGTAGCTGTTCCTGGTGAAGCCTCTCCACATCTGGCCCGGGCTACTGCAGCTGACATGATTTTCCTAGCCCTAGCCAGCTCATGCTAGGGCCTGTAGGGTTGTGGCCCCACTGCAGGAGTCAAATGACTTTCTCAGGGTCACCTAAGACACCTGTGAAAACACAAATCTTTATGATTCATGGTAGTAGCAAGAGGGATACAAAGTGAATAAACTGTAATTATTAAAACATAAGCTAAAAAATAGTAGCAACAACATTTTTTGGTCGAGGGTCACCACAACATGAGGAACTGTACTAAAGGGCCGCAGCAGTGTTAGGAAGGTTGAGAAGTGCTGGGCTAGAGACCCTAGGAATGGGGAAACTGAAGTTTCCTCATAAGCCAGTAAGCAGACCCGGTCCCGGTGTGGCACTTCCCACAGAGCCAGGCAGGTTTCTCTCCATCCCAGGCCAGCCAGGGTCACAAACAAACAAGCTGGGCTGGAGAGATGGCTCAGAGGTAAAGAGCACTGTCTGCTCTTCCAAAGGTCCTGAGTTCAATTCCCAGCAACCACATGGTGGCTCACAACCATCTATATAATGTGATCTGGTGCCCTCTGCTGTCATGTAGGTACACATGCAGGCAGAACTCTGTATACATAATAAACAAACAAAGAACAACAAAAAAACAAGCCGACCAGTGGTGGCACACGCTCTGTCTCAAAAAACCAAAGCAAACAAACAAAAAATCCAGTTAAATATTTGAAATTGACACAAAGATAGAGGATATCCATTTTCTCAAGGGTTGAGCCTCGCAGGAGCCTGAGATTAGACAAGCCTTCCACAGCAAATGCTCTTGTTTTCCCCCCTCTTTCTCATCAGTTTGGAGACTTCCACCGCCCTTTGCAAGGCCAGCAAAGACATTTGCACATAGAACAGGGTTGTGGGGGGAGGGGCGCTAACGTGCCTGTGTGTGTCCTCCAGACAGGCCAGCTGAGGGAGACCCTGTGTGCCACTTCCCCAAGGCCACACACAATGACAGCGCCTTGAGGCAGAGTACCCACAGATACTCTTGAGCCAGGACAAACCTCCAGCTGTCATGCAGGTTCTAGACCAGCAGCCAAAGGCTGTCAGGGGCGCCACACCCAAGGAAACCTTCCCACACAGACAGACCTTCCCCACATCCGCCCAGCTCACTGGAAACTGCCTGTCCAGTGACATCACGACCAAGGCAACCCAGAGAGCAAACTGTACTGCCGGGCATGGTAGCACGCACCTTCAGTCAGCACGGGAGGCCGAGGGATCGCTGCCTAGTGAATTCCAGGCCAGCCAGGGCAGTACGGCGAGACCCTGACTCACAAGAAACAGACAAACCCATTTGGGGCTTACCGTTCCAAAGGGCCAGAGTCCATCATCACAGCGGCAGGCAGGCCTGGCTGGCGCTGAGCAGCAGCTGAGAACCCAGGTCTGGATCCACAAGCATGAGGCAGAGCAAGCTGAGGAGGGCTGGGGTTTCAAAACCTCAAAGCTCACCCCTACAGACACACCTCCTTCAAGGCCACACCTCCCGTTTCCTCCACAGGCCCACCAGCTGCGGAACAAGCGTCCAAACTGCACACCTGTGGGCCGCGCTCATGCAGACTGTCCAGGTGGAGACCAGCTGAGTTGCCTCAGACTCCAAGCAAGCTGCAAGTCATTTTCCCCTCTACACCAGAAAACTCCCAACCACTTCAGGTTTTCTGTACATTCTAGAACAGCTATTAAAAAAAAAAAAAAAAAAAGAGCCGGGCAGGACCCCTTTCCCACACAGCCCACCCCAGGCACCCACCTTAGCTGTACATGGATCCAGAGCCCAAGAGCTGGCTGCAGGGTGAGGAAGCTGCTGAGAGAGCGGCCCTCCCCACTGACCCTCCGCCACTCTTCCTCTTCAGGAAAATGGTTGGTCCTGTGGGGCCCGGTTTGCTTGTTTCCAGCCTGGTGACGACTGGTGCCCTCAGCCTGTCCTAGTTCGGGGGAAGACTTAAGACTTCAAATACCCAGGCCTGCCAGAGCCCGATTCCTCTTCTCACTCGCAGTGGAGACAGGGGCTGTCTGGGGGCTCAACGGGGCCTTCAGTGTGCTGGGCAAGCATGGCCACCTCTAAGTCCTTCTGCATGATTTTTAGCTGGAGATCTGACCTTGGGTCAAGTTCCAGACAAGAACTGGTCACCTAGGGGGTCGCTGAGCTCCTTCCCCGGCGCACACAAACTGAAGCCATGAGAGCAACTATCCCTTTGGAATTCGAGGAAGCTAAGGCCAGAAGTCCACTAAATGGATGAGGGTGTGGTAGGGCCCCATGTTCTCCCCTTTTTGCTGTTGGTTCTTTGTAGATACACGCCCCCACGCCTTCTTATGTCTCCCTGGAACAAGAAGCCAATATCTCAAAAGCCCGTTTTTACTTTCTTTTTCTGTCCCTGTCCCTCTTTCCCACAGATCCCATGTGGGAGGAGGATGTCACCCCAAAAGTTGCCTTTTGACCTCCCTATGTGGCAATGACACCCACATGGCTGTATACGTGTATGTACGTACACACATACACACACACACACACACACACACACACACACACACACGCACCTACCTGTCCTGGAACTCACTTTGTAGAGCAGGCTGGCCTTGAACTCGCAGAGCTCCACCTGTTTCTGCCTCCCAAGTGCTGATTAAAGGCTTGTGACATCACCACCTGGCTCATCCCCCCCCCCCCCCGCCAGGGTTTTTCTATGTAGCCTTGGGTGTCCTGGAACTCACTCTGTAGGCCAGACTGGCCTCCAACTCATGAGATCCACCTGCCTCTGCTCCCAATTGCTGAAATTAAAGGCCTGCGCCACCACCGCCTGGCTCACACACACTTTTTAAAACAGGGGCAAAAATTGTTTTCACTGTGGAGCTCACGGCCTAATTAGAAAACCAGGTGAAGTAAATGTGTTAGAAGTTGCGTGGGTTTAGAAATGCAGTCACAAAGCACCTCAGGCTTGGTGGCCAAAACAGCAGAGCCAGGAGCTCAGAGGCAGGCCCTCGGCCCCTTTTCTGGAGAACTTTTTAGTTGCTGCCGGTTGCTTGGCTTGCAGCATGCAGCTGCAGACTGTGCCCTCTGGGTCACCTGGCGCCTTCCTAGCGCCTGTCTGCAGATTTCCTGTTTTGATGAAGGCACCAATCACATTCAGTCATGGTCCAACGCTGCCAACATCTTTGATGCCACTGTCACGTCAGCTCCACACTGGCCCCTTTTCCAAAGGCAGCGACATCTGTCACTAAGAGGGAGGAGCTGATCATGGTTTTCTTTTTGGAACACTTGAACCTGATCAGTGGTGAGGGGCTGGGAGTCAGGTGGAGATGGGAAAAAACAAAAACAAAACTGTGGTCTGGGGCTGGAGCAGGGCTCAGCAACTAACAGCACTTACTGTTCTTGCAAAGAACCTAGGTTCTGCTCCTCCCTCCCACATGGTGGCTCACAGCTGTGTGTAACCTGATTCCAGAGGTCAGAGCCCTCTTCTGACCTGTGCAGGCACCAAACATCTAAAAGCCACAGTACTGAGAACCGGGGTGGCCCGAGCTGGGTGCTGCCAGCCAGCATGGAATCTTGCCTTTCTTGGTACTGTTTTCCTCTGCTGCTGGGTCACAACCTGGTAGGAGAGCTGGGCCCAAGACACACCAGAGCGCGGCTGTTTTTAGAGGGTGAGGGGAAGGATGGAGGCCTGGAGACTCCCTGGAGGAGGCAGCGTTTGAGCACAGCTGGTAGCTGGAGTGGGCAGGCGCAGGCTCTGTTAGTTACCTTGTTCTTTTTTGCAAGCGCTCTACCACTGAGCTAAATCCCCAACCCCCAGGGGCAGGCTCTGTGCCTTGAGGGTCATCAGACCCGGCGCATATTTAGTATCAGCCCCACTGCAGCAAGGCAAGGCCACCTGAAAGGGAGTGTCGCACCGAGCCAGGGACCCACAACTGTACACAGGGCTGCAGGGCTCTGGGGGAAGCGACAGCAGGGACCAGCCTCTGAACCATCTGAAGGGTGACGTGGAAGGCTGCCTTTCTCAGCGATCAAGGCACAAGTCCGTGAAGGACAGGCGTATCTGACCAATTGCTACAAGCGAAGGCGGCCCACTCCAGTTACCACGGCTGGCAGGGCCAGGGGTCCCAGGCAGCACCGAACCCGGGACCTGGGGACAGAGGCTCTGCCAGTCACAGCCTTGGGCCTTCTGCTGGGCCTGGAGTGCACTTGCTGAAGCATTTTCTCACAGGGGGCCTCATCTCCGCACCTGCTCTGGGAAGTGGTACCCCTGCCTGCTCTGGCCGGTGGCCCACCCATATTCTTGGGACGCCTGAGGCCAGGCCAGGCTGACCTCCACCATCATGGCCTAGGTGTCCCCCGCAGCTCCGAGGATGACGTCACCCCATCTCCCCTCTGCTGGAACTTCTTTGCAGAGCCTTCGGCGTCCATCCCGCTCTGAGGCCACGCCGCCGGCGTGCCAGACGATGAGGTTTGTGACTGCAGAGTGCGAGCTGTGACAGAGGATGAGGAACCCCAGCCTTTGGGAGGCGGAAGGAATACCAGGAGGTGCTCATCTCTGGCTACACAGCAAGTTTGAAGCTAGGTAGTTGGACGTGAGGGCACACGCCAACACCCTCCCCGCCCCTTCCGGGGGCGCCCACCCTCGGGCTCCGGCTTGACTGTGCTGTGCTGAGGAAGCCGTAGGGACCTCCGGCTGTCCCGGGTCGCGGCAGTCCTGCGGTGTCCATCGTCGGAGCCACGACGGCTTGTTCCGCTCCACAGAGCGTCGCAGGGCAGCGGCACCTCTCAGCCGAGCCGCTGGCGAGTTCTCCGGAGAGGCCCGATGGGCAGGGCCCCTGTCTACCAGGCCCCTTCTCTGCCCCGGAGCAGTCTGGGGCGCCCCACCCTTCCCGCCGCACAGGTGCGGCCGCGCCCGGGGCCCCGCTCTCCAGGGACCTCCCGGGGCTGGCCGTCCGGGTGCAACGGCCCTCGCTGCCCGCTGGGCACCCCGCAGGCCTGGGCTCTGACCCTCCGCGGGTGCCGCCGGGTCCCCTCACTTGGGAACCCCCGGTCGGGCGGCGGGCTTCGTGCCCCGGCCTGGGGAGCCGGTACCGGCCGGTTCCCACCACGACCTCAGCCTCCCTGCAAGTGGCGCGAGAGCCGGGGCGGGTTTCCACTCGGCCCGCGAGGACGCACGGCGGGCGGACGCGCGGCGGAGCCACAGCGCCCCGCGGCAGGCGCGTGCGCACCGGCCCCTCTCGCCTCGCCCCCGCCCTCCCCGCCCGGGTTTTCAAATTTGAAACCTGCGGCTTTTCCCGCCCGAGCCGGGACCCCGCGGCGGGAGGGGCGGGCCGCGCGCCCCGGCACCCGGTTGGCTGGCGCGCGGCCCGCCCCGAGGGTGT